TCTTTTTGTCTTAAATTTTTTAATTTCTATATTGTAATTTTAATAATTTTTTATTTTTACTATTTATTAATTTACTAATTTTTTTAATATTTTATAATATTATTGAAATCTTATAATTTTAATCTCTATAATTTTATCTTACTTTTATTTTATAAGTATAATTTGAATTATTCTTTTTATAATTAAATTAATTTTTTTAAAATTTTTTATGAGTTTACATAGAAAAATATATTGAAATCCCTCAATCTTTGAGGGTACTGTAGCAATTAAAAAAAAATAGAAAGCAAGTCAAATCGGTTTTTTAACGGATTTTTACTGGTTTTGGATTGGTTTAACCAGGTTTTTTTTATTATTTTTTTATGCAATTTCAGAGATGGACTGGTTTTTAAAGAATTAATGAACAAGTCATCAAACCGATTGAATTGACCGGTTTGAACTTTAAAGCGTATTTAAACGCTTTTCATCGCAAGTGCCAAACTAAAGTTGGTGATTTTTGATCAGTGAAGAACTTTCCCTCTTTCATAACTCCTTCCCCTCCCAAAGTTAATGAAATCCCATAAAATTTTACACATTTTCTCGTTTATATGAAAACTAGTCATCAACAATAGACTATTTTCCTTAATTTTCATATACGAACTTCTAGTTGAATTTTGAGAATTATCGCATTTTGAACTATTTATATTTAATTTCATCCGCAATATTGTTATAATTATGAATTATTACTTGCGATGACAATTTTGGCTCGACATTCTCTCGGAATTACGACAAAAGGTTGCCCAAATATTTTCTTACATTGATTGTAATTCTAAAGAGTGAAAACGATGTTTTTATTATAATATATAATATTTTAATCTATGCATAAATATTTTTTATTTAATCATTTTTATTTACACTTTGACATAAATAATATTAATAACTATTAATAAGGGAAATGTGTTGTTTTCATTTTTTTTTTTGAATTTTCTTACCCTTCAACTACTTTTTACAACTATTCAACTATTATAAAATTAATGGCTTACTCTTATTTTTTTTTATTTTTTACTTTTTAAAGTAACAGTAAGTTACAAAATGTCTTATTTTTGTTAGTTAATAATAAAAATAGAATCCACTTACAAATAAAATGATTTTGTGATAAGTTAAAGGAAAATGTTGTATCTTTCAAATTTCAAACACCAAAATATCTTTCAACTTTTTAAACTTCTATATTTTGTCAGTTAATTTAAAATAAAAATAATAATTTAAGTTATTATTTTCAACTTTTAACCTTTCAAACAGTAATTCGACAAATGCAATTTGAAGGTATAACATATCTCTAAGTTAAATTATGAAGAAAAAAAATATATTTTAATAAAATATTATCTTTTTACATTTTGAATTATACATAGTTATGGTTTGAATATCTTGTAGTTAAATTATAAAAATAATTTTATTTTTTAATAAAATTTGTGATTAACTTTGATTGTTTCTTTTTTTTCATGTAGTTAATTAATTTTTATTATTTATTTCATTTATCATTCAAACATAATCAAGACATACACCTATACTCCGAACCTTGAAAATTATTATAGATTTAATATGTATTATCTAAACCTTCGATTTGAATTCATAAATATATCTAAAGTGATGCCGTATAACGAAAGCAATGATGGTATTGGACTATTTGTTCACCATATCACGAGCAAAGGCCTCAAAATACCATAATGGCTTTAGCATGGCGACATCTTATTTGAACATTCTGCCACAGCAACTAGCCATGAGACTTGGAAAACTGCAATTATAAAATAACCGGTTTCAAAAATCACTTGCACATTAGATGACAAATCATCATTTGAATTTTTTGAAAAATAAAAATAAAAATTACACTTGGATTATATCTCATGTAAAAACCAATCAGAGACATGTAATTAATTGCATGTCATGCATAAACAGAATTTCAAGTGAAGTGATTTGAACAAGTCATCTTAGCCATGCATGCACTGAACTCAAATATTAAACAATTTACTTACCCCACAGAAATATGTTTCTAGCTCCCATCCAAAAGTTGATTCCAAAGATAACTACTCAGCACCTTTCACTGTGTCAGCAATGCTATCTGCTACTTCCGAGTCACAAAGTATGTGTTGGTGCAGTTTAACAGTGCGTAGCACTCATTGTTCACAGAAATAGACCTCATGTCAGTGAAAACATCCGCTGTTAACTTTTCAATAGAATCACCAAATGTCTCTAAGTAATCATAATCCTTGGCCTCTTGGCATTCCTTTGCAGTTATAGCTTGCCATACCTACAACGAAAAATTAATAAACTTTTACTATAGTTTTATGACTATATACACTAACGAAGACATTAAGAATTAAGTAATGATAAAGAAATAATTAAAAAAATAGTCATTAATATTTTTTTTGGATTTTTAAATAGATAGATAATAAAAAAAATCTTTTCAAAATGAGCAGATAAAAAGAAAAAAGTTAGTTTTTTTTTTAATGAAGGACATCATTATTGCAGAAGTTAAAAAAAAAAAAGAACAATAGTAGACTATTGAGTTTTAAATGAAAGTAAATATATATATTTTATTTGAATATGAAATATTTTTTTTATAAATGTCTTTTTTAATAGAGATATTGTGCAATTAGTGTCCTTAATTATTAGACTCATTAGCAATAGGCAACAATATACATTCTATTATAAAAAAGAATATAGATCAATTGATATATAACAATTAAGAAATTTGTGAAGGTTCAATTGTAATTAGAGAATAACAATTAAGAAAAGGTATCTATTAAGAACTACGAAGGCAATAGTGGGAAGTAGAATATATGAGTAACGAATTGTTAAAAATTAATCCTTTGTCCTTCTTTCACACTTTAAAAAGTCTAAACAGTATTTTTGGATAAATGAAGCGTCTAAGACTCGTATATTCGTTTACCTGAATGTCTATAAACAATAATTTACAATGTGATTAAGCATTCAAACAAACAAGCCTTTTTATGGATAAAAGGTCTAACATTCTTTTTATTGTATATATGATAATGAATTTTTCTTGATGCGTTTTTATATTTTTTATGTATTTATTTAAATTATTGTTTTTTAAATAGCTTCGTACTTTTTAGAAAAATTTATTTTTTTGCTTTCTTAAGAACCAAATCTCATCAGTTTCTTAAAGAATTGGTTTTTTAAAAAAATCTTTTTTAGAAATACTTTTTTCTTTAATTTTAAACAATATCCATTCCACACTTGATTTTTCAATTTTGATTCCCTCATTTTATAAAACCTACAATTTTAGTTCCACTAACATATGTCAGTCGGTGGATTATTAAAATTATAACATAAATTCATCATTAAGTATACACTATAACAATTAATATTCAGTGATATTAAATTGTACTTTTATCCTCCATTATTATCTCTTTTTTTCTCACATTTACCATAAAAGATAAAAATAAGAATAAGATATTTTTTTTAAAGATTTTTAAATATTAATTATTATAATATTATATGATTAATATTACAATTTTAATGACCAACAAATAAACAAATTTAATTATACTATAAAAGTTGTAATGTTATCAAATTAAAAAATTAAAATTATGAAATTAAAAATTAGAGAGCTAAACCTACAATTAAATATTTTAGAGGAATAAAAATGTAATTTAGCTCATCTGCAAGACGAATTCTAAAATCCAGGAGTTTTTCTGTGGCATCTACAATGGACAGGTGCTTCCATTGTGGGTAATTTTAATTAAGCACCCGCGAAGTATAGAAGCACAAATATTTCAGTCTTTTTTATTAAAAATTAAATTTATGATATATTTCTTAACGTTATAAAGTAAATTTATAATATATTTCTTAAATTGTGGGACACATTTAAGAATTAAAAGAGATATTAAATTAGATAGAAGAATGTTTATGAAAGTATTTAAATTTAAAAAAAAAATGAGTGATGTGTAAATGTGAAATATTTTTTAATAATTAAAAAATATCTCAATTGATGATGTCCTTAAAAAAAAAATATTGATACGGATAAATGTGAAATGACTGAAATCGGACCCACCAAATTTGGTTACGTATCACGTAAGGAAATTTTAATTCAAAGAATCGTGGAAAATTGACCAGTGAGCCAATACCATTAACATAGTAACAAAATATAAGAAAACTGAAAAATTTTCCATGAAACTACGAGGATATTTTGTGGAAAATGATGGTGATGTCATGTGAAGGAATCTGGAACCGTGAAACTATTAACTAGGTGGTTCTGACTTCTGAGCAGTCTCTTGTCCCCATAAATTCAAGATAAAATCTAAAGACGCGTTCGAGTAGGCCCTCCAATATTTTTTTAGCCTGCGTCATTTTTAATTAACTATATTTTAGTATGTATAATATATAATGTATAAATTTAAACGTGTAGTTTAACAGTAGGGATTGATTCATGTTTAAACAATATCAGGAGTTCAAATCCTGTCTTATGTATGCACCGTGTTAAATCATTATTATCGACCCTAGAGGAAAGAACTTAAAAAATAATGTATAAATTAAAATTACATTAATATAAAAAATATATATTATATTTTAAATTTCTAATGAACAATTTATATCATAGTAAAAAAATATTTTTTTATTAATAATTTACTTTTAAAATATTAAAAATCAATTCATAAATAATTGTATAAATAAAAATTAAATTTGATAAAATAATTCTTCAAAGTTATCTCGTAAAAACAAACGACAAACGTTTTTACTTATACAAAGAGTTGATATCTTCCTATTCTTTAAGACATTATTATTTGGTTTAATTTTTTTTATAAATTTATTTTAAAATAAGGTTTTAAATAATAAAATATAGCTATTTAATGGTTCTATATTTTTTCAGCCTGTGTTTTGTTGGAAGTGGAACAATAATTGAAAGGATAGAAAAGAATAAGAGAGAATTGATTTAATAGAAAATATGTAGAATATAGTGTAAAATTTATAGTTCTTTAGTAAAGTAGAATAAGATGAGAAATAGAGAAAAATTGATATTTTAAAATTATATACATTTAGATATACATTTAGATAAAATTATAGTTCTTTATATAGTTAATTTTTAACCTTTACTAACTATTTCAAATATACATTTAGATAAAAATGTGGAGTTGTTTTGTCTGAATAATTTTTTTTTGTGAAAAATTTTACACAAGTCCACTTACAAGAGAGTGAAATTAAATTCACATATATTTCATCATAATTTTCTCATATATTTACTTAAATTATCTTCTCTAAACACACCTTTTTTTAATTCTTTGATAATTCCCCTTTACTACTAAATCACCTTTCACTAAAGATTACATATATGATATTCAGTTATTACTTTTTACATAAAAATTAATTGTCCAAACTAGCATCTACATACTTGAGGTAATGAATTTTAAATATTTTCACAAAACATAAGTCATAGAAACCTTCAAATGAAAAACTCATACTAATGCAATCAATAAATAACGAAAATTAAGCACAACTAAAAAAAAAGATCTAGACACACTCAGGAAATTCAAAGTCAATAAAAGATTCTGAAAATACTTACTTCATCCAATCATCCTTATAAGTAGATATTTTTTTAGATTTGTTTGTCGAATTAATTTGTTCTGACTAAAATGCCCTTAATTAATTTATAATAAATGTTATTATACATTAACTAGATAAATTAATTTTCTCTCTTATGACAATCGGAAAATATGACTTTCACGTCTTAATTAATTAGGTAAAGAATAATTAAGTAAAAAGAATTAGACTTACATTTTTCAAATAAATAATATAAATTATTAACAAATTTAATAATACTAACTGATTAATTTTCTAATGAGTGTGAACTTATCATAAGTGTTTTACATTTAGAAATGGAAGCAGTATCCTGTATATTAAGGATTGGAAGTGGTATTCAAGTAATTACCAGCGTAGTCTTTATTTGTTTTTCTTAAGTTTACTAACGTAGTCACTTGTTCAACTTTTGAATGAAATATTTTCCAATGTCCACATTCCACTGTCACTTTTGAGGCTTGGCAAACAACATTAAATAATCAGAGTTTAGGTAAAAACGCGTTTCCGAGACCATCGTGGAAAACTTCAACGACCAAAAATTAACATTAATGAATCCCTTTGCAGCCTCCATGCTTCATTTATTTGATTTTCTATTTGAGTTGCAACTCATTTTTCTTAATTTGTTTGTTGACGTGAGAATTTGGCTTTGATTTGTGTTTTCATATACTTGGATAGAACATAGAAGTATATGATTTTTTAAGGTTGAGTTGAATCCATTTTTTTAAAGTTTTCCTTGAGCCTTACTACGGGTATGCTACTAATTTCCCTTGACTGCTAGCAGTTATAAGACAGGCAACTACCGAATTAATGTGGGAGGAGAGGGATGAGAGTCACGTTAGAGCATTAACATCAGCATAACCAATGTGATGCACATTACATTACCAATTTCGATAACAACATACGTCCCTTTCTCTCATTTAGTCCTATTCAAGCCTAAAGTTACACAACCCTCGCAGCTACCAATTACTTAACCATCTATGATCCATAATTAACTATATTACTATTACTTAAATATATGTTTGATAAAATATTAATCAACTATCTTTTATCACTTTATTAAGTTGTTAATTACGATTTACGAGTGATTGAATGTTATGACATTAGACTATGCATAAGTAAAGTAACATTCGGTACAACAGAGAAGGGATTAGAAATGATGAGGTGCAACAAAAGAATCTTCGATCTTCTTTCCATGTTGTTGCCGAGTCCATTCATAAGGGAGAAGAAACAACGCGTTAGGCTCTCTTCTCTTGACCCACCCAAGGGGTTGGACCGGGCGTTTGAAATGGTCAGCACTCAGCACATCAAATAAAAAAGGATCACTCTCACTACCACTCTCAAAGACTCAATCCTATATACTAAACACTCCACTATTCAGGACCCACGTTGTGGAAAATTCACTAGTTTGGCCAGTCAAATTCTCACCCTTTATATAACCCTCTTCGTATCACCTTCCTCAACCCAGTCCTCTGTCTATTTCACACGCACCTTCACTTCTCTTTTGTGCCATATATTAGTACCTCACTTTGGCATGTTATAAGCTCCAAGGCCTTAGCTACAACTAAAATTAGTAGACCAATTCCATTGCTGTTGCTGTTGCTGTTACTTTTAGTTCATCTTCATCTTCACAAAATGGGTGAGAGCACCAAGAGGAAACACACTACTCTCATCCATGAACTAATCCAAGGAAAAGAGCTAGCAAAGCAGCTGAGTAACCTAATGGTTTCTTCTTCTCCATTGACCAATGAAACCAATGGATTGTTGGTTGAGAAAATACTTTCGTCCTATGAGAAAGCTCTCACCATGCTGAACAAGACCAACACCATGATGGATTCCAATTCTTCTTTTACAAATGGTGGGAGCCCCAGAAGCGAGGTTGTGGATCATGAATTTGAGCACAAAGCTGTCTTCAAGAAAAGGTAATGTCAGAAAGTTACCCAAGTTCTTGTTTCTTTGTGACTTGTGTCAGTGAATTGTTGAGGCTCATGATCTGAAATTTGTGGGGTGCAGAAAGACCATGCCCAGATGGACAGAGCAAGTGAAGATTTGTTCAAGAACTGGACTTGAGGGGTCTTTGGATGATGGATATAGCTGGAGAAAATACGGGCAGAAGGATATCCTTGGAGCTAAGTTTCCAAGGTTAGATAATAGCTCTTTTCTCATTTATATAAAATTAAACACTTTTAATTACTATTGACAAGCATGAGAGAACAATTTAGTTAGTGGCATGGGCCTTAGGTACCTGGTAACTGAAAAATCAGTGGCCATTGTTGCCTAATGGGGGAGATAAAATATGCATGTACAATGAGATTTCTCCCCCGCGCCCCCCCACAAAGTAATGCAAGAGGGTGTACATTCTTGTCAAGTGGAGACAACTTGTTGTATAGTATTATGTTGGTTGTGGGTTTGGCAGCTCATGTGCCCCATTCAGCAGTAAATGCAATAAAATGCAAATTGCAGTCGAATTCATAATGAGATAATAACAGGTCATTTAATATTCCTTTTCTAATTCTTTATTTTTGGACATATACTGTACTATAACCTTCGCAGCAACTAAAAGAATAAAAAAAGAATGTAGGTTTTTTCAATCTTCTCCAACTTCCTTACTAAGGCATAAAACAAAAGGGGTTTTATAAATATTTTTATGTTAAGAAAAAGAAGTTAATTTCTACTTTTTCCCAAAAATTGACAAAAGTGGTTTGCATTGCAGAGGATATTACAGATGCACACATAGAAATGTACAAGGGTGCCTGGCAACAAAGCAAGTTCAAAGATCAGATGAAGACCCAACAACAATTGAGGTGACCTACAGAGGAAGACATACATGCACGCATGCTAAGCATTTAAACAAAGCATACCCATCAAACATAAAGATGGATTTGAAGGAAAATCATTTCCACAATGATCAAAAGAATCAAACACTACAAGAGAAAATACAACAAACTCCAGAGGGGATTTTTACATTTGAAACAGAACTTAAAGTCAAAACTGAGGAAATGGAAACCAAAGAGGATATCTTCCCGTGGTTTTGCTTTTCTTCTCCATCATTTGGATCAGAAAACGAGGACAATATGTTACACGAAAGCATGATTGAAAACCATTTCATGGAAATTTTTTCTCCTGCATTCATATCACCAGCAACTTCAGAATCAAAGCCTTTCTGTTTGCCAGCATATGACTTGGACAGCACTGGACTATTGTGCCAAAACATACAAACCTCGGAATCTGATATCACTGAGATACTTTCAGCCCCGACTTCAGTCACCAACTCCCCAATCCTGGATTTGGATATCCTGCTTCATAAACGGGATTTTGACACTGAGTTCCCTTTCAACACCCTTGAATTTTTCTCTTCGTGAGAATTTCCCTGCATTATAGTCTGTTCCGGATTAAGTGGTGAGTCGTAGATCCTGACTATGGAAGGGTAATCATAAGTCATGTTCATAAATCAAGACAACGTAACCTCCCTGTCATGCAAATTTGGGGAGTTTTCCTTGTATGTAATAGGTCCAAGGATGTAATTCGTAAATAAATTGTAGCTGGATCTGTATTTTCTTATTTCACTTGTAGTTGGTTCATGTCTTTTGGCTCAAGCAGGATGGAATTTTTAAAGTGAGCGAGTTTTCATCTCATAGTTTTTGTCTAAAATTGTAATCAACATTCAATGTTGTTAGGATACAAACAAAACCTAAAATCATTAAGAATATAGGAGAAACATAGATTTATATAGTTCATACATATTCTATTGGAGTGAGATCTTTTGACATATCACCAATTAAACAACAAGATATAATACTTCTCTCAGATTTACTTTTGGTCATCATCCAAAAAGATCTTATATGAATTGTTATGCTTAAAGTGGACAATTTACACTAATGTGTAAACATATGTAAATCACATTTAAACTACAAGATATAACACTTCTCTTTAAAAATATATCTCTACAAACAAATACACAACATACTCCATCAAATGCATCATCTCACCAAACAAGAGAAAAAGGTTGTCATCAATTCAGCCCAACAAAATGACATGTCTAGTGGGCTCCGTGATCTACTATTTGCCACACAACAAAATGGCCTCTCTCTACTTGTATGTATGCATCATAAAATAACGTGGTGCCCCTTAAACCAGTTAGCAAAATATCTGTTTATATCTGCCCTGGTTAAGACTTAAGAGTCAAACAAGTTGTTCGAGTGATCTATCTGTTCATCATATCCAAACTCCATCAAATTGAGTCTCAGACCTTTCTGATCCAGGTTTTCAACTCAGCTCAATTTTCATTTTTTTTTTATTGAACACACATGCTATGAGTTGATCCTCTATTTATAGTAGTGTAAATCATAACCATTATATAAATACTTAATTAAAATACTAAATGGATATAATACTGATAGTAAATGCTCAGTGATTCCTAAGAAGGAATAAAAGTCTTTTAAGTTCCACAATGTATAATAACTTAAAGCCCTTCATCTTTGCAACTTCTAAGCCTTTATTTTCTAATATAGCAAGGGTGTAGATGGAGACTAGAGAACACCCATCCTTCTTGCACTTTTGACACAATCATCCAACATCATCTTGAAGTCATATTTGAATACGAATCCTTTGTCACAAAGCTTTGTTGAGACCCACTTGATATCCCTCTTCGGCCCATCTTCATGTCTGAAATGTAATTTTAACAAATTGAAAGTAAGAAAATTTGTGCATCCTAAGATTACCTATATATTTGGATAGCAGTTCAAAACTATATTTAATGAAAAAACACAGGTTCCAATACAGATAAAGCAAAAATTTGTGAGCGTAAGTTTTCTTTTCAATCCCAGTTAAGTTCAACCGTTTTCAAACACAAAAATCATTTTTAAATTTGCCTTTAATCGTGCTTAAAGTTATTCCATGGAAAATTTGCTTGTTTAATATCCGTTTTCATAAAAAATTCTAGCATTTAGTCCTTCGTGTTGGTTTTTCAAAAAGAAACCAAGGAATGATAAATGTAGCGATAACCAAGATCCAGCCACTTACTCTTGTTTCACCTTGAATTCAGGGTAATTAAGAGCGTAATGATTAGCCATCTCTTCTATCGAAACATAAGAATTTGCACACAAAAATCTTCCACTGATGGAGGTGCTCTCCATGCAGAAAATGTGAGCCTCACAGACGTCATCAATGTGCACAAGAGGAAGTTTCCCCAGCAAGTCATTTAGGAATTTGAGTGATTTGAATGCCCTTTCATTTTTCGTGATCGGTGCGATACAAGCTGCGACGCTACCGGATATAAAAGATTGAAGGGTGTCACCTCCCACTAGTCCTAAAGGGAGTGTTACCACCTCCAATCCACCACCATTTCCATCGTCTCCATAGCTCAGCATATGCTTCTCCGACAGTGTCTTAGAATAAACATAGTCCTTCAAATATATATCACACCCATACATTAAAGTCAAGTGTCTCTCGACCTGAGTTTCATCTCATTAAAATAAGTAGTATTATTTACTTTTAAAACTTAAATTTTTATGTCTTTTTAAAACTACATCTAAATTTTATTTTATTTTTTGGTCCATGGAGTATCCATGGTCGATAGCAGTGACTAATCTCCTTGCTAGGTTGGAGGCACCTCAAAGGGTGGGATAGCTGGTCCCAAGATTTAACGCGGCTGCATACACAAGGCAAGATTCGAACTCCTGACTTTGCTTAAGCGTGGATCAACTCCTACCGCTGAAACCACACACTTGAGGTTAAACTCCATCTAAATTAATGAAGCCCTTAACACATGGTTTTAAAACTTTTGCATTTTCAAAGTAAAAGACATAAATTAAACAAATTTTATTTATTTAAAACATAATAAATTAAGTCTCATTTTTTTAATAAAAATAGAAAAAAATTACAAAAATATCTTAATAAAAATTGAATTTAGGTCTTCATATTTCTAACTATCTATTTTTTTTTTCATCCAACCACTAGACTAACTCTAATAGTTAAATTAAGTCTCATTAAAAAAACAAAAATAATTTAAAAATTTAAGTCCTAAATAATAAAGTCAAGAAAAGAATATTGATTAGGAAGAAAAAAAAAAGCTTTTGTTTATTTGGTGTGTTGGAAAAATAGAAAGTAGGGAGGCGAGGTATGAGACGAAGGGGAAGAGTTAGAGAAGTAACCTTATAAAAAGGGTCATCACGAGGGTATCGATAAGCGAAGGAATCATTAAGAGGGGTCCAGCAAGTTTCATCGATTGTATCTTTGTAACTGTAACCACTTCCATCTTCTTTCAGTGGAGAAGCTGAAACAACAGACGCCGTGTATATCAGACGCTTCACCGTTCCTGCTCTCAGACAAGACTCCGCGATGCTCTTTGATCCCGCAACTGCGGCTTCAGTAGTATCCTTGTACTGCTATGCACCATTTTTAGACACTCACAGTAAATATTTTGTAACCCAAACAAATTCTTAATTTTTTACGAACCTGGGAGTGAGAGGTGGGTTGATTGACGAGGGGAGTAGCAACATGAAAGACAAAGTGGCAGCCTTGAATTGCGGGGCCAAATTGAGATGGGTTGTAAATATCAGCTTCAAAGAGATGCAATTTGGCTTGTGATTGTGGAAGGTTCTTTAGGAGGCTCACCTTTGAATCGTTGTCTGTTAATTATTGCAAATTCATCTAAATCAATTTTCACAAGACGATAGATAGCGAAGGAGAAAGAGAAAGTATAATTACTCGAGTCTCTAAGAGTTGCATGCACGGTGTAGCCCTTGGCCAAGAGCTTCTTGATGAGATAAGAACCTATGTAACCATTGCCTCCTGTCACGCATACCTTCACACCTTCCCCCATCTTCCTTCACAACCGATACACCCAAAACTCGATCTATGGGAAGAAGAGAAACGATACCTGCCAATTACATATATGAGAACAAGAGAAACAAGATAAAAATAGCTCTAATTAAGTATATTGAGTGATCTACATGAAGTGGGGACACTTACTCTCCATACCATTTAACATATATATATATGGTTCCTTGATAAATATCATGTCCCAAAAATCTAATTTTTGTTTGTGCTAATTTAATTTTCTTTTGTGAAATAACCATTCCATTTCTTTTAATTAGCTTTTTAAATATTTTCAAATGTTTTAGATGTTGTTTAATTGATTCTGAAAATATTAACACATCATCTATATAAACTAGTGCAAATTTTGAATATGAGTTTAATATTGTATTCATTATATTTTGAAATTCGGAGGGGGCATTTTTTAGACCCATTGGCATTACATTCCATTCATATTGGCTAAATGGTACTATAAATGCTGTTTTGTATTTATCTTCTTCTTTTACTTTTATTTGATAATAACCACTTTTCATATCAAACTTTGAAAATATGGTAGCATTATAAATTCTACTTATTAGTTCTGACTTATTAGGAAGAGGGTATCTTATCCATTTTAATACTTTATTCAATGGTTTATAATTAATGACCATTCTAGGTTCTCCCTTTTCTATTTCTGAAGCATTTAATTTTGTACATAAAATGCTGCACAACTCCAGGGAGATTTACTAGGTCTTATTAATGCTCCTCTTTCTTTTAAATTTTAAATTTTGTTCTTTTAAAATTCAGCTCCTCTTTCTTTTATTAATATTTAATATTTCGCTCCTCTTTTATGAATATCTGGTACCAAATGGTATCAGAGCCAAAGAACAAAATTTTTTGTTAATATAGTATTAATATTTAAAGGATTTATATGCACCTAACTTGGAAGCTCTGCCACCATTACTGGGAAGTATAAGTCCCATTTTTCCCAATTTTTCCAAAACCCCGAAAATGCACAACTCTTCAAATCCGACCGTCAATATTTCTAAAATTAAGCTACATTTGAGTTCCTACACTCATTCACAACCAATTCGCACAAAACTAACTTCCCTTACCTCGGAGAAGAAGAATCCGAGCTCTCAAGAAAGAGGAAGAGAAGGAGAGAAATGAAAGGAGAAGAAGAAGTCCGCACTCTCAGCCCAGCACCTACAACACCAATAGGTTGGAGAATCTGAACTAAGGCAAAGAGAGTGGGAAGGAGAGAGTGAGAAGAAATGGGTAAGTTGAGAGGGAGGGAGAAGAGGAGCGGGAGCGGGTCTCACACATATAAATGTATTTAATTAATTAGACAATTTTCAAGTCTTAAATGAATTTAAAGAATATTCTAAATAGTATTTCAAAATTGTAAATTAAAAGAATCAAATCAATGTAAATTTAGGAGATAAAAATTTAATATAAACTTCTTAAAATAAAAGACAAAATAAACCTTAAAAATAAGACAGAGACCGACGAGTATAATTTTAATATAAAGAGACATGAATACGAGTTAGTTTCAAGACTTAATATTGTTGTAGGATTACACAACATGAAAACCACGAGAAACGGATGACTTGTAATACTGCACATAAGTTCAGGCATTCTAACTTCATTGTTAGATGGACTTTAAATTTGAAAGGATAGTCATACTTTGACAATTTTAAAAAAACAATAAACTAATATTTTTTGTAGTTCTCATAAAATGAGCTAATTTTAAGTTTAGCTCCTGTAATTATTATTTTTTTATTCTTCAAAAATTTGTAAAGTTCATTTTTGGTCCATCAGATTTTGATTTGTCTCTTAATTTTTTTATATTATTTTTATCTCTCTATAATCTATTTTTAATTTTTAAAAATCATTTAATAAGTAACATTTATTTTATATATCTATAAAAAAAATTTGAAGTGTCATATAATAATAATGTATGATAGACAATTGTGAACATATAATCACATAACATTTTAATAAAAATGCATAATTTAAGAAAGTCACATAATAATTCTACATTTTAAAAAGATAAAATAAAATAAAATCAAAACATAGTCATTACATAAGAATTCAAAACATATTTAATCCAAAATAATATTTATTGAAAGACTAGAGGTCGCCCATCTTTCTTGCGCATATGATACTATCATCTAATATCATATTGAGGTCATATTTGTAGACAAATCCTTTGTCTGTGAGCCTCGTTGACGCCCATTTGATATTTCTTTTCAGCCCTTCCAAATACCTGAAGCCAAACACTTTTCAAATCAAAATCTAGACATTTCCCAATCCAATTCAATGCTTGACTTTTTAATTTCCGACAAATAAAAAAAAAGGTGCTTATAAATTATTCAGAAACATGTTGAGCCAACCCTTGGTGATATGTTAGTGACATGTATAGTATATACGAGTAAACAGTTAATAGTCTAAAGAGTTTTTATATTGCAATTGAATCGGGTAGAGTAGGATTTTATACTGTCTTTTGTGCACTTGCATAAAACTTACTTGTTCTTCAAATGGAATTCTGGATAGGTCCGAAGATAATAATTTGCAATATCTAGAGATGATGCATATGAGCTTGCAACCAAGAATCTGCCATTAATTGGTGGATTCTCTGCACAAAAGATGTGGGCTTCAATGACATCATGAATGTGGACAATTGGGATTTTTCCAACCAAGTCTTCTAACCTCAAAGATTGGTATGTGACTTCATTGTATTTTACTTGTGAGACAAGCAATGCAACACTCAAAGGTGTGTAACTGAGAAGAGTCTCCCCTCCCACAAGGCCACAAGCCAAACTCACCACCTCTAATTCCCCTCCATAACTCAATAACTCTTTCTCAGCCCGTGTCTTTGAATCAGTGTACTCCTGAAATTAATATCCCTCAATTATAAGATTGTATAGAGATGATAAAATGTTTTGTTTGAATTACCTGATGAAGAGTCCCTGGTAAATGGTTTAGAGGCGTCCAACAAGTTTCATCAATCAAGTCTTCTTTAAGCGGAGAAGCAGCAACCACAGAGGCAGTGTATATCAGTCGTCTCACTGTTCCTGATTTAATACAATATGTAGCCAAGCTTTTTACTCCCGCTATTGCAGCTTCACTCGTGTTCTTAAACTATATGCCATAAACATGCATGCATATATAAATATTAATCATATCTAGCTCTTCAATAATTCATTAGCATATATATATAACATATATATTTGCATTACCTCAGAATCCAAATGATGCTCATAGGGAGTGGCCACATGAAAGACAAACTCACACCCTTCAATGGCATCCTCGTACTCCTGTGGCTTATATATGTCTGCTTCAAATAACACCAATCTTTCATTTGCGTTAGCCAACCCTCGAAGAAGCCCTATCTTCCACTCCTCCTCTGTCATCAATTTACCATTAATTACCTTTATTTTCATAATTCTTTCTATAACTACAATAAAATAAAATTACCTTATATGATGATAAAATATATTGATAAAATCTTAAAATACTATATATTAATTAAATATGTAACTATTTTATATGAGAAATTTTTTAGTTTCATATTCGAGTTCCGGATTAATTCTTGTTTCACATATAAAAATATATGCAAAAGGGAAAAGGATAAACATGATTTGCCATCAAAAGACGAGTCCGTAAGTAAATTAAAAATTTCGAACCCAAATTGGTTTGCTGGAAAGGACGAATACATACAAATGAAATCACATGTACAATCAAAACTAGATATAAAAATATGATAAATTTAAAAATTATAAGATATGCATATAAAATTAAAACAAAATGCAAATTATAAAATAAAGGATATTATATATTAAATATTAATATTATATATATATATATAATCGATTACGTTATATATATATAACATAATCGATTGTTATATATATATAACATAATCGATTGTTATATATATATAACATAATCGATTATGTTATATATAACATAATCGATTATGCTATATATATGTATACAGCATATATTAGATATTAAAAACATGTTTATATCATAAATAAATTGAATTAAGTTTTTATAAAATTTAACATATTTATTTTTATATTTTTATTAATGTTAAATTATTATAAAGTAGGTCTTTAAGATTATAATTCTAACCAAATATTTAAAAAAAAATATCTATGACGGATAAATAAGTCATACTTATAATATTTATTTATAAAAAAAATTGGATTTAAACCTATTAAATTATAATATAATATAGTCTAACCTAATTTATTTTCGTCTTTAATTATAATTGTAGATATAAAAACTTGTAAAAATAATTATAATATACATTTATACTTTTAAAAATTATATGTAAAAAATTTAATACTACAAATATATAAATAAGTATTATCTATATTATCTAAAAATTTTGGACCCGTCACAGATTATATGTAATGAGATAAAATATAGAAATAAATTTGGAATTGAAGTGTCCAAATACTCCCTCCCTCCCTTATGATTTACAAAGATGATTTAACTCATTTCATTAAATTCAATTAAAATATTTATTTGTTTTAATTATTTTTTGTATAAATATTTTTAATTAATAGTCATTTATCTCAGTTCATTAATTAGGTTAATAAATTTTTGTTTTATCATTAATTTTTGAAACTATTCTTTCATAATAATAAATAGTTATTTCTAACGGTAATTATTTTAAAAAAATATTAATAATATTTTTATAGCATATATGTTATTGACTATACCTACAATGCTATTATGAAAATCTGCTAAAACTTTTTTTTTATTTAATTTTGTAAAGCTTATTATAACATTAATTATTTTTTATTAATTATATTTTTATTTTTTCATATGATTTTTAATTAATTTACATGTTTATAATTAATATGTATTTATTATGAAATAGAAATAAAAAGATATAATAGAAAATAGAAGAAAAAAAACTTCAAAACTATTTTATAAAAATAAAAGATCATTACATTTTTTAATTTATGCATAAAAACTTTACAAAAAAACATTTAAAAATAAACAAATTAAATAATAATTAAAGGAATAAATTATTAACAAAAATATTTGTATTAAAACTATTTTTCAACTGATAAGCAAAATTAATATTTTTTTGAGAGGCATAAATTATTAAAATAAATTTTATCTCTTTCAATCAAATCTCTTTTACTATTATCAAAAGAAATAAGGTTAAATGTTACTTTCGGTTATTTATTTATATTTTTTATTATTTTATCTATTAAAATATTTATTTTGATCCTTTAATTTATGTATTTAAATTAATTTAATCCTTTTAAAAATAATCATTTTTAATTTTGTTATAATTTTAAATTAATTTTTGATTAATTTAAGACTTGAAACTTATAACATTATATTTACTTATATAAAAATTATGAAATTCAATTGCCATTCAAATTTAAAAGAGATATAATCATAATAAAAATTACATAAAAATATATCCCACAAATAATTAAAAAAATAATATAAAATTATATATATTTTTTTAAATTTCAGTTATTTTTTGGATTATATTTATAAAACTTTTTAGCCTGAATTTTACTTTAGTTCAATTGTTATCATATTGTAACGACTTGCCTAGCCGTCACACAACAAACATCACCGCACAGAATAAAGTATGCATATAAAGAGAATATATATATACATAAGTCTAGTTTGTGGCTCAACAAGATAGTGTTCAAAACTACAAAATAGCTACACCAAGTAGTCTATAAACAACAAAATCAGCTCTTGCTGCCAACTGTAGTCCTACTACTACACTATAGACTATTCCTGCTTTGCTCCCATACACAGTATGATCATTGCAGACCAATCCACATGGAAACAGGCAAGGATAAGCTAGTGAAAAGAATCAGCATATAAATAAATTATAAATAGCTTCAACTTAACAACACATCATCAATTTCAACGAATTTAACATACAACACATAACAGCATACATCTACATCTCAGCTTCACAACACACTGCACACATACAGCTCATATCATTTAGCAAAATCAACATCAAATAGCTTATGCGTCGTCACACATTTCACCTCGAAGATCTCCTACAACATGAGTGAGCAGTTTAAGTGGCTAGGTCCTACCGAACCGACAACAAAGAACCTTTTTGGGTTTGCTAAGTAAACAACAATTTGGATATCAATCCACAACTTCACGATTTCTCTGACTTTGTCACTTAAACAAGGAAGTATAGTACTATGTCAGGATAGAACAATTGGGTTTTAGGCCTACCACGACATTAGCTAGCTTAACTAAGTCACATATGGAATTAGCCTACCGACTATCTTCCAAATACCACAACCTTCCGATACTTAGTTAGGAACTAAGTTTTCGACTTTGTACTTTTCTCGATTGGTCGCTTGTAATCGGTATAGCTCGACCTGGCCCCTATACCTTGGTCGCTTTGTACACGTGTGCCTCGACTTTGCCCACACACGGGACCAACTAAGTACTTAGAGGAGAACAACACAATGACCACTCCAAGGGACAGCTTCCCAAGGAAGGTTTTCAATAAATTGGGCTCTAAGAGCACCACAGCTTCCTCAGTCCATACAATGGGATGAGCATCTTCGAAAAATATCTCCTCTAGTCTTAGTAATCAACAACTCATCATTTCAGCTTAAACAGCTCATACAACTTACAGCACAGCTCAGCTTAACAACATTAATCAGCATAAACAACATTCAACATTTTCATAGTTATAGAGAAAGACACCTCCACGCCCGGCGCAATAGGATTTGCGCCCGGCCTGAACCAGAGAGCTTTAAAGCTCTTACGCGGCCGGCGCAATAGAAGGCAGAGACTCCCAGGAGCTTCACAAGCCTGGCGTACCAAACTCGCGCTCAGCGCAAGTAAGGCAGAGACCTCATCAAGGTCTCACGCCCGGCGCGCTCATTCTACCCTCGACGCCACCCCAGGCAGAGACCCTCATGGAGTCTCGACGCCCAGCGAGATCTAATCACGCCCGGCGCCATACCTGTAACTCAACTCCTTGGGTCTCTATCTGATATCATGCCCAACGCGATTCTCTCACGCCCGGCGTGAGCCATCTAGGAACTTTCATTCCCAAGCTCGCCCGGCGTAACTAGCCTTGCGCCCGGCGTGCTTGAACAATGGAGCTCTCTGATGGACACACGCCCGGCGCCAAGAACTACGCTGGGCGTAATTTCAAATAGCAATCCTCACAACTTCGAAAATTTCATCCAAAACCTGCAAAATCAGCCTGCTCAAACGCATGCAATCCATCAAATGAACTACATTTACAACAAACAACCCAAAAATCCCCATTTTTCCCAATTTTTCCAAAACCCCGAAAATGCACAACTCTTCAAATCCGACCGTCAATATTTCTAAAATTAAGCTACATTTGAGTTCCTACACTCATTCACAACCAATTCGCACAAAACTAACTTCCCTTACCTCGGAGAAGAAGAATCCGAGCTCTCAAGAAAGAGGAAGAGAAGGAGAGAAATGAAAGGAGAAGAAGAAGTCCGCACTCTCAGCCCCGCACCTACAACACCAATAGGTTGGAGAATCTGAACTAAGGCAAAGAGAGTGGGAAGGAGAGAGTGAGAAGAAATGGGTAAGTTGAGAGGGAGGGAGAAGAGGAGCGGGAGCGGGTCTCACACATATAAATGTATTTAATTAATTAGACAATTTTCAAGTCTTAAATGAATTTAAAGAATATTCTAAATAGTATTTCAAAATTGTAAATTAAAAGAATCAAATCAATGTAAATTTAGGAGATAAAAATTTAATATAAACTTCTTAAAATAAAAGACAAAATAAACCTTAAAAATAAGACAGAGACCGACGAGTATAATTTTAATATAAAGAGACATGAATACGAGTTAGTTTCAAGACTTAATATTGTTGTAGGATTACACAACATGAAAACCACGAGAAACGGATGACTTGTAATACTGCACATAAGTTCAGGCATTCTAACTTCATTGTTAGATGGACTTTAAATTTGAAAGGATAGTCATACTTTGACAATTTTAAAAAAACAATAAACTAATATTTTTTGTAGTTCTCATAAAATGAGCTAATTTTAAGTTTAGCTCCTGTAATTATTATTTTTTTATTCTTCAAAAATTTGTAAAGTTCATTTTTGGTCCATCAGATTTTGATTTGTCTCTTAATTTTTTTATATTATTTTTATCTCTCTATAATCTATTTTTAATTTTTAAAAATCATTTAATAAGTAACATTTATTTTATATATCTATAAAAAAAATTTGAAGTGTCATATAATAATAATGTATGATAGACAATTGTGAACATATAATCACATAACATTTTAATAAAAATGCATAATTTAAGAAAGTCACATAATAATTCTACATTTTAAAAAGATAAAATAAAATAAAATCAAAACATAGTCATTACATAAGAATTCAAAACATATTTAATCCAAAATAATATTTATTGAAAGACTAGAGGTCGCCCATCTTTCTTGCGCATATGATACTATCATCTAATATCATATTGAGGTCATATTTGTAGACAAATCCTTTGTCTGTGAGCCTCGTTGACGCCCATTTGATATTTCTTTTCAGCCCTTCCAAATACCTGAAGCCAAACACTTTTCAAATCAAAATCTAGACATTTCCCAATCCAATTCAATGCTTGACTTTTTAATTTCCGACAAATAAAAAAAAAGGTGCTTATAAATTATTCAGAAACATGTTGAGCCAACCCTTGGTGATATGTTAGTGACATGTATAGTATATACGAGTAAACAGTTAATAGTCTAAAGAGTTTTTATATTGCAATTGAATCGGGTAGAGTAGGATTTTATACTGTCTTTTGTGCACTTGCATAAAACTTACTTGTTCTTCAAATGGAATTCTGGATAGGTCCGAAGATAATAATTTGCAATATCTAGAGATGATGCATATGAGCTTGCAACCAAGAATCTGCCATTAATTGGTGGATTCTCTGCACAAAAGATGTGGGCTTCAATGACATCATGAATGTGGACAATTGGGATTTTTCCAACCAAGTCTTCTAACCTCAAAGATTGGTATGTGACTTCATTGTATTTTACTTGTGAGACAAGCAATGCAACACTCAAAGGTGTGTAACTGAGAAGAGTCTCCCCTCCCACAAGGCCACAAGCCAAACTCACCACCTCTAATTCCCCTCCATAACTCAATAACTCTTTCTCAGCCCGTGTCTTTGAATCAGTGTACTCCTGAAATTAATATCCCTCAATTATAAGATTGTATAGAGATGATAAAATGTTTTGTTTGAATTACCTGATGAAGAGTCCCTGGTAAATGGTTTAGAGGCGTCCAACAAGTTTCATCAATCAAGTCTTCTTTAAGCGGAGAAGCAGCAACCACAGAGGCAGTGTATATCAGTCGTCTCACTGTTCCTGATTTAATACAATATGTAGCCAAGCTTTTTACTCCCGCTATTGCAGCTTCACTCGTGTTCTTAAACTATATGCCATAAACATGCATGCATATATAAATATTAATCATATCTAGCTCTTCAATAATTCATTAGCATATATATATAACATATATATTTGCATTACCTCAGAATCCAAATGATGCTCATAGGGAGTGGCCACATGAAAGACAAACTCACACCCTTCAATGGCATCCTCGTACTCCTGTGGCTTATATATGTCTGCTTCAAATAACACCAATCTTTCATTTGCGTTAGCCAACCCTCGAAGAAGCCCTATCTTCCACTCCTCCTCTGTCATCAATTTACCATTAATTACCTTTATTTTCATAATTCTTTCTATAACTACAATAAAATAAAATTACCTTATATGATGATAAAATATATTGATAAAATCTTAAAATACTATATATTAATTAAATATGTAACTATTTTATATGAGAAATTTTTTAGTTTCATATTCGAGTTCCGGATTAATTCTTGTTTCACATATAAAAATATATGCAAAAGGGAAAAGGATAAACATGATTTGCCATCAAAAGACGAGTCCGTAAGTAAATTAAAAATTTCGAACCCAAATTGGTTTGCTGGAAAGGACGAATACATACAAATGAAATCACATGTACAATCAAAACTAGATATAAAAATATGATAAATTTAAAAATTATAAGATATGCATATAAAATTAAAACAAAATGCAAATTATAAAATAAAGGAAAATAGTTTTCTAAAATAAATATGAATAATTTTAAATATGATACATTTTTATTTTTTATTTAAGTATTGTGATATTTTCATTTGTACAAACATAAAAATTAAAAATAAATACTTAAAATAAAATTATATAAACACTTTTTAAAATTACACAAAATTTCAGAATAAAATATTATATAATTTCACAAAATAAGAACTGTCACTGTAGATTTCATCGGTATCAGCATCACTGTTTACTCATTACTCAACACACACGTGAAGTAATAAATTGTGTCGTACTTGACACACACCGAGAGTTTGTTTGGATTTGAAGATGGAAAAGTGGGAGTGGAAAAGGAAAGATTTGAAGGGAAAATGAGTGAAAAGTGAGGTTGTTTGGATTAAGGAAAAGTGAGTGAAAAGTGTAGAGAAAGTTTGTGAAAGTTTGTGAGTGAATTGATTGATGTGATAGATAAAAATAAATTTTTTAATTGATAATTATGTAAGATTACTATTTTGCCCTTAAATTAAAAAAAAATTTATAATTAATTTAGTTAAAAGATAAATATATAAATTTTAATTAAAAAATTATAAAATATTAATTAAAAATAATTTAATTTAAATATTTACTTTAAATTTAATGATAGATAAAAATTAAAAATTTAATAGATGAATATATAATTTATACTTTTATAGATTAAAAATGAGTATAATATTATTTATTGTAAATAATAATAGTTACAATAAAATTATCTTAATAAGTATAATTTTTAAAAAATAATAAATAATGATAAAAATAATAATAAATATTAGAAAAATAATAA